GTTGGGGTCTGTCCGTCTGTCCTCCTCTGATCAGAGGCTTGTACGGAAGTCCCTGTTCAGAAAGAGGGAAATCCGTAACTTCACACATTCCAGGGTGTGAGTAATTACACAGGAAGGCTGAAGTGCAAATGCCTCCGCATTGTTTAACAGTGACCTATCAGAGATACTAATACGTTCTGATTATTCCAGTTTCTAATTTTATTAGGAAAACAATAAGCTTCTCTGGCCGGAGTGGCTCAGTTATTAAGCGTCGTCCTGGGCACTGAAAGGCTGCTGGTTTGATGCCTGGTCAGGGCACATGCCCAGGTTGTGGGTTTGATCCCTGGTAGGGTGTGTGCAGGAGGCACTGGTCAATGTTTCTCTCTCTCCCCTCCCCTTCTTCTCTCTCAAAATCAATAAAAATAAAATATAAATAAATTAAAGAAAAAAGAAGACTGTCCAATAAAAAAGCGCAGTAAGCTGTTACTTTGGTGACAAGTTCCATTTCCACAGAGTCCACCTGCTCAGCGTCTGCGCTTGGTTCCCAGCACAGACAGTGCCCGCCTTCAACCTGGGAGGACAACTGGACACTGTGACTCAGGTCCTAGAACTTCAATCTCAGTCCAGTGTTCATGAGCAGCCTGGCAGAACACTGACCGTCCCCATGGAGCCGGCGTCGCAGTACCAGCTCCTGTAGACTCTGGATTAGAGCGAGGTGTCTACCGGGTGCTGGGACTGAGCTAACCCCCTCCCCCCGCCGTGACGGCCCTCGGCACAGGCTCTGGCGTCTGAGCTCCGCAGCCGCAGCTTCAGCTTCGCGCGGATCCAGGTTCACACTGTGCCTGGAGCCTCCTGCTAGCAACTCCCCAGATTCCCAGTAGGTGCTTCCAAGCCTTCCCTCACCTCCTGCCTCGCCCACCCAGACAACACTGTGGGCTCGTGGGAACCGGCTTGTCTTTCAGCCACGAGGGTCCTAAGTGCTCGCCTGCTCGCTCACTGGGGACGGGGACCCAGGGAGCAGAGCGAAGGGGTCCGGGAAGCTTGCTTCCCAAACGCGAGCCTCTAACAACTAAACTCACTGAAAGGACGGGAGCTCCTTCGTTTCTGCAGAGGAAGCTCTGTGAGGGGACCGCACCTCGGAGGCATGTCATGCTGCAGCGCCCCCGCAGGCCAGGTGCAGGAAAAGCCACAGGCCCCCAGCAGGGGTGTCAGCACCGCACAGCTGGTGGCTGAAGCGGCTGGAGAAGAGGAGGTCCCAGGGGCCTGGCTCCTGGGAGGAGGGTGACTTCCGGCCGTGTGCGAACGGCCGGGTTCTGGTTTCTGTCGTGCACATGCGCGGCTGACAGAGGCGCAGAGAGAAATAAGGCAGACGCCTGTGTGAGACACAGGATGTTCCTGAAGGTAAGGGTGGGCGTGTGGGTTCGCTGCCTGGGAAGCCTGAGCCTGACTTCCCACTCAGGGCACAGAAGTGTGGGCTGGGCTGGGATTCAGCACACGCACCTCCCGGCCAGAGGAAGCTCTGAGGAGCAGTGTGCGCTCGCCTCTGGGTGGAACCCCCTCCTTTCTCCTTTCTGCCTCGACTGCCAGGGGATCAACTACATGCTGTGCTACATGGAAACCCCTGATACATCTGGGTTTCCAATTTCCCTCATGTTTTTCCTACTTTCTTTCTTTAACTTTTAAAAAAATATATTTTTACTGATTTCAGAGAGGGAGAGACAGAAACATCAATAATGAGAGAATCATTGATCCCCACACTGGGGATCGAGCCCACAACCCAGCATGTGCCCTGACTGACTGGGAACCATACCGCAACCTCCTGGTTCATGGGTCGATGCTCAACCACTGAGCCACATGGGCTGGGCTCCCTCTCACTTTTAACTGCACAGTTGTATGCGTGTTTGTCATCTACCTCAAACTAGCCATGAGCTATTAACACAAATATTCACAATAGATTACCTCTTGTGCAAGGACACAATTTTTTAAGTAAGGCAAGACCATCAAAAAATAAGCATTAGGACCTTAACTCCTCCCCCCCGCTCCCCCCGCCTTTTTTAACCAGGATCTTACACTCTGAAGTCCTTTTTTCAAGTTATGCTCCCTTTCATAGGGATGTCTGGAGGAGGAGGCTCCGCTGCCCTCTATGCCAATTTCTTACAAACCCACAGCCCCACCTGCCTCAACTGAAAACGAGTGAGCGAGCCGTGAATGCCAGTAGCTGCCACGGAAGCCACAGCGCAGTGACGCAGAGTGACCAACTGTCAAGGATCACACAGTGTGTCCTACAAGCAAGAGTGTGCACAGAGACTGCAATCGATGTTTGATTTCCTTAGAAACTTCCTTACAATAAAAAGAAAGGTCGGGGGTTAAAAATATGATGATAAATGAGAATTGATACTGGGTGGTGAGCACACCATGCAATGTACAGATGATGAATTATAGAATTGTACACCTGACACTTATATAATCTTACTAACCAATACTGACCCAATAAATTCAATAAAGTAAAAAAGAGAAAGAGAATCGACAGACATCATTTTATCACTTGGTATCAAATTTCCTAAAAATTGTTTTGATTTTTGATATTGTTAATTCCACATACCTGCCTCCAATTATTTTTTGCATGTTCAAGTAAATAAAAACTTCAACATACTAAAATAACACCTTTTCCTGGTCTATGAACTAATGTGATAACTGAATAAAATAAAATTGTAGCCCTAACGGAAATACATTCATTCAAAAACTTATCCTGGAAAGACCAGAGTGTGGGTGCTCTTGTGAGAACCCAGGAGGCTGCCTCTGGGCCATCTGGAGCGGCCGCTGCCCCATCGCAGCAGAGACAGGACAGCAGAGGTCAAGGCCACGCCTGTGGGGGCAGGTGTTCACGTGCCTCGTGCCTGTGGAAGGACCGTCCACAGAAGGAAGTCTTTTACAGCCAGAACTCCCACGATGGGAATGGGCAACGGTCCAAGGACACTGATGCGTAGGTGCATCTTACCTAAGAAGGGGCACCTTTCCAGGTTAAGAAACCAAATGTCATCCCTCAGCTACACATTCTGGTAATACGTACACATCAAAAAATAAGGAGAAAGCCTCACTGGACGCCTCAAGGAGGTTCCGCAGAGGGAAACGCATCCGGTGACTACGTTCTGAGAGGTGATGAGTCTCACACAAGGTCTGTACACCCCTCAGGTTACCGCTGGGGAAGGTGCCCGTGACGTTAAGTAAGTGGTGGTGGTGGGTGGAGGGACAGCACCCGTGTCTGTGCTGGGAGCAGCTCTCCACTCTCCCCCGCCCTACATCCCTAATGAACTATTCTCATTAAAAAAGTAGGAATTCTAACAATGACAAACAAAACGGCTCATGGTAAAAATTATAGCATTAAGAAAAGTCAGGTAAAAACTTGGTGAAACATCTCCAATCTGGATGTTTCTGTGAGCCTCCCTACGATTCCGTCTGCCTCGCTCCTGCATGGCCGGTGCTCTGCGCCATGTCAGCATCCTTCGTGAGCCAGAGCCACCCTCAGATCACGCCAGCCCAGCCCAGGCCCCGCAGGGAGGAGTCTGAGGCAGGAGGGCTGCCTGGGACACATGGCAGCTGACGGGGCACCTCAGTAGGGACGTGAGTGTCTGAAACAATTCTTCGGAAACGTCATAATTTTTCCTGTAAAACTGTGATTATGAAATATCTACCTGACACTTAATTAAAACTTTTTGTTATTTAATCATTTTTTTAATAGTATGATAAAGTTTAACCAGTGACTAATCAAGAGATGATGAGGGGGAAATGAGATTTCACTCATGGCTTGCTAACCTGTTTCCCAGTGAAAATACCAGGTGGTTTTTCCAAGACTTTTAGATTAGATTTATATAAACACTCCTGCATACATAGCACAAATTCTTTAACTATTTAAATCGCGTAGTTCAATCATTACTCTTTCGTACAATAACACTAATATAATAAATCAACTTTAATATTTTAAATTACAGAATTTCCTTAAAAAGAGACCTTGCTATTCCTTTGGTGCATACATAACGGAAGTCTGACAATCCTCCACCACGGATGCTCGTTAAAAACTCCGGCCTCCTTAAATGCTATATGGGAATCCGGGGAGTCACTTTCCCCGATTTTACAAGAGGACATTCAAAATAATTGCTTGATTTCACCCCTAAGTTCGCATTCAGCTGGAAGGACGTGAGTGTGGAAGTGAGGAGGCCGCCCGGCTGCCGAGGGCACACCTGCTTTGGCATCTGGGCTGTGGCCGTGCCCTGGTCTCCGATGGTCTGTCAGGTGGGGCGACAGCTCAGAGTGTGTGACAGCCTGTGCACACTTCACTCACCACAATGGAAACCCCACGGGAGGGGGAGGGGGCTGCTCAGTGTCCCAGAGGAGACCGCCCTCCCCCACCACCCACGCCTCAGGTGCGGACAGGGCTCCGCTGTGATGCGTCCGTAGCAACCATGACTTAGCCACCTGGAGATGCTCCCACACCCTCCTTCTGACACGCCCTCCTCCCGGGATCTATGAGGACAACATGACCCTTTAAAGCCCAGACTCTCCTGGGGCAACCAGCCCTGTTTCCCTCCTGGCACCCCCCTCAGCTGCCAGCACTGGGGGTGGGGGGGCTCTTGTCCTGGACAAACTGTTCCATTGGGGAAGCCACGCTCTCGGGGAGACCTGAAGGCCACACTCTGATGTAGCGTCTGTGGTTTATGTCCTGCAGCTCCGGCAGGGGAACTGGGGGAGGAGACGGCTCTCAACGCCAGCGCCGTCCCGTGCGCATGGCAAAGGCCTTCAGGCTGGCCTTGATTTATGTCGTCGGACGGACGATCATAACTTTGCCCCTGAAATAGGAAGAATGGCTCCCGTGCTGAGAACCTGTACAAGAGACCAACGACCGGGCTTATGTCCGGGGGAAAGCACAGCGCTCACTGCTCTCCAAGAACAGCTGCCCACCACTGTCAGCAGCGGTCGGCCCTAAGTCACCTGAGACGGACCACGTGAAAGAACGCAGGCATTACCTTCTGTGTCTTGCATATTTGCCACTAACATGGCCGCTGCCATCACAGCCGGGCGTGGGACAGCTGCAACGGGAAAGAATGAGTTACACGGTGCCACATGCCACAGGCGGTTAGACCGAGAGCGTCAGCGACGGGACAGAGAAGGAGGGCCACACGGATGGACGGGGACGTGCACACCTGGAGGGGCGGTTGGGGTGCTTTTCATTAGTGAGTCTCAGGGGAAGCAACTGCATCAGGGCAGCGGCCGTGAGGAGACCCATGCACTTGGACGTACAGTCTGGCATGAGACGCCTGGACTTCCCACACTGCGAATGGGGACACATGTACCCACAGAGCACTGACCTGAACAGCTCCTGGATGGCTGGCTCCACGGGGACTGCGGAGAGAGGGAAACAGATAACAAGGCGTCATCTACCACAGCACCCTCTTCCATAGGACATTCCCGAGGGGGGCAGGCAGCGGTCAGAATGCATCAGGCAACAGCTTCCGCAGCATGAAGGTGACCCCGAGGGGCCTCCAGGGAGTCGGGGGGCGTGGACGTACCTCGAACCCCTTTGGACCGTGTGCGATGACGCTTCTCCTCGGCGTCCACCTCCATCTGGGGATAGAGTAGCAGGTGGTCAGTGTCCTTCTCCCACATGCCGAGGCCAGAGGGTGCCGCTGCGCCCGGCACCGTAGGGACAGTGTTTGGACCTGTGCCCCTCTGTGCAGGGAGCCTCTCCAGGGGAAAGCATCAGGCAATCCAAAGGCGTAGGAAGTAACGGGCCAGACCTTGATCTCACAGGGATGCTTAATCGGGAGGCCCTGCCTCTGTGAGGAGCCTCGAGTGCAGCCTGCATCCTCGCTTGTAAACCACTGAGTAGGACACATCTGGGTTGGTTCTGAGTTGAACTTTGTACCAAGAATGTTCACTGGAGGTGTAGTCTGTCCAGGAATGGGTGTCACAGGACAACGACGTGCCTGGGTGACTCACTGGACCCTCGCTCCTGGGTGCTGCTGCTACCCACACTGATCTAAACCGTCAGGAGGCTCCTCAGGGACACAGGCCTTTGCTCGTAGTGACCCATACGTCTCACTGTGGGGATGACGACGTGTTCTGGTGCACTGCCTTGCAGGACCCTCCCAGCAGCTCTGTAAGGAAGGGACTGCATTGCCTCTCCTGGAGATCTGACTCGCCCCCAAGCATCCGATGGGAGTTCATGCAGGGCCCGTCACCACCTGCCGTCTCTAAGACAAGGAGCACACTGCGGGATGGGTCAGAGCTAGGGTTTGCGCACCCAATATTTCTGCAGCGTGTGAAGAACTATACACGCTAACTGCCCATGGGGGGGACTCCGGTGCACCTGGCGGGCTGCCAGGAGAGCAGCAAAGAGGAGACGCAGGTCCTCTGACCACAGGAGCAGAGCTGCTCAGCCCCACCTGGGACCTTCCTGCCCTGCCCAGGGGCCAGAGCTGCCACAAGACGCCACCTTCTCCACTGGGCGCCGAGTACGGCATCAGGAAATAAAAAATGCACACAATAAACAACAGAAGCTTTCAATGGGCTTAATGTCCTTCATGGGAGATGGATGTGTTCAGATACAAGACTGAGATTCGACATGATAAGCACTTCGGAAGAGGAGGAGCCAGGGTGAAGCCTGGAAGGAAGGAAGGAAGAAGGGAAGGAAGACAGGCCGCACCTGAGCCTACGTACCACCCTGGACAGAGCTTGGATGAGTGAGTGAGTGAGGCCGGTGGCTGGGACCACGGCGGGTTACGGAGGTGGCAGGAGGCGGATGAGTGCCAGGAAGGAGGTGGAGGGAGCTAGAGGGAGGGTGAAGGCTGGGGCCGGAGGGAGGGGCACAGTCCACCCAGCAGCTACACAGCTGCAGTCGCCCACTGAGCAGGTGGTGGGGCGGGAACACCTCACAAACACATTTTATACAGAAGTTCACGCGGTGCAGAGCACAGAGGAGAGCAGAACCAAGTGGGGTGACAGTCACCGGGCTGGTCCAACGCCTGGAGTGCCAGGCTGTCCGGGGAGAGCGAGGACAGGAAGAAGGATGTGAGTGGAAGAAATGAGAATGCGCACGAGGCAGCGCCTGTGGTCTCCCCTGTCCTTGGTCACTGGGCCCACACGGGTCTGGAGCCGTGGACGCAGGCGCATGTGGCCCCGCAGGATGTCAACAGCACCTCGGGCAGCTTCAACGCTCTAACCTACTGGTCTACACACAGAACTCCCAAGCCTGGTGCCATGCCAGCAAAGCCTAACGCATTGTGCAGGGGCACATTGTGGGGTGCGGAGCGTGGAGGGCCGCCGTGTCCGGGGGAGTGGGCAGAGGCTTCCTGGTGGAGCTGAGACCTGAGCAGGTTTAAACGCTTCATTGCAAGTTTCAGGTTTTGGTGTATGGGGAGTCATGTGGGGCTGGGGGTGTCCCAGGCAGAGGGACCCCTGTGCAGAGACCTTGAGGGGTTATTCTAGGCAGTGGTCGGCAAACTCATTAGGCAACAGAGCCAAATATCAACAGGACAACAATTGACATTTCTTTTGAGAGACAAATTTTTTAAACTTAAACTATATAGGCAGGTACATTGTTATTAACTTACTTAGGGTCCTCCTAAGGCTTAGGAAGAGCCATACTCAAGGGGCCAGAGAGCCGCATGTGGCTCGCGGGCCGCAGTTTGCCGACCACTGTTCTAGTGGGTGTGT